GTCCTGCAGAATGCTGTGCTGGCGCAGCTCTCCTTGGGCATCCTTGTGAACATCCACATCATCCTCACCGTAGCTGTCCTATCTGCCGAGGTGGGGGCATGTAAAGAAAAAAAGAAGAAAAGAAAAAGAGAAAAAAAGAAAAAAAGAAAAAAGAGAAAAAAAGAAAAAAAGAAAAAAAGAAAAAACATACGTTGATCTGTGGGATGTGTTATTTGCTTTGTGATAATTGGATTATCTTTCTTTCCCTATCTTTCTTTCCCTGTCAGGTTTGGTTTCCTCCTCCCTTTCTTTACCTCTTTGCCTTTTGGCTGCGTGCAAGTGGGTCCTTGTGACACACGGGGATGGGGGCAGCCAGCGCTTAACCTGTCATCCACGTAGCTGGCCTTGTGCGTAAGAGGTTATGAACAGGTGGAGCTTTCCTTACCTCTTCCCCTTCCCCTTTTTTCCTTTTCCTTTTTTCTTTCCCCTTTTGTGCGCTGTGATTCACAATGTGACAATATATATGGCTACGGTTTACCGGGCGGCCTTGTACGCAAGAGGTTCTGAACAGGGGGAGTTGTAAGGAAGAAGATTAAAAACGAATTTAAGATTTTTTTGTTTTTTTGGTTTTTTCACTTAGGCGCTCTGATATCATGTGACAATACGATATATATAGTTCTATTTGACCATATATATTTGTTTGCCCGGCCGGGCAAGTGGTCCCGGGCCACTCGGTTAGCCTAGCTTCCTACTGTTTTTTTTCCTTTTTTGTTTCTTTTGGGTCTTTTTTTTAATCTGTCCTCCAATGTTTTGGTTTGAGGAATAAAAAAAAGAGTTTTATCTGAGAAAAGAAGCAGATTTTTTTTATTTTTTATTTTTTATTTTTGGAGTCGAAAGGGTCGTCGGATGATATCCAGGGGCGGCTTCTGCGCATGCGTACGTTCCTGCTGACGTCTTCCCCCGAACACAACCGCCCTCATTTTGGCTGTACCTAACTTGAAATATAGCTTGTATACATTCATTATCAGCCTGCGTTATGTTTGGGGGAAGACGGTACAGCCCGGGACTGAAAATACACTGAGAATACAACCCTAGGTCGCGTTTGTAGGCACAGCTCAAACAAACCATAACCAGAGAAACCCTAAACCCTAGTGCACTGATCTGTGCTAGTTATTGAGTCACAAGGGTTCAAATCCTACTGAGCGCAATAGAGTCACCAGTTGTTCGCCTTTTCCGCCTCTCCCCTCCCCCCCCCTTTGAAAAAAAAAGGAGACGGAAGGGCTCCCCCAAAAAGGTGAAAAAAGGGAAAGGGGTTTTCGCAACTCCCTCTGTCATTCTGCGCTTGATCGCAGACTGCTGCTGCTTCTATTCGCTCCCCTGAATAGAAGGCAGGATCATTAAACCACCCACCAGCTCACCCCTACCTATTATTACGAACCCCAAAAATCATTTTGCCAAGCCTGAAATCTATTACACCACTCGAAACTCTAAGGATTTTTCTTGCCCAACACCGTTCCACGGTGCCCTTGAGTTTCGCTAATCACGGCCTGGCTGTCATCAGGTTTTCAGGTTTAGCAAACAGCGGGTGGGAAAAGCTCAAGGGTGGCTCAAGTGCGGCCCAGGCAAACCTACCCGTCGTTTTTCAAGCCACCTCTCTTGCCACACTTGAGCTGCGCACTTGAAAACAGCGCTGCAGGTGTGTGTAGTGTGTAGACCCTGCTCGATAGGTTTTTCTTTTTCGTTTAGTCTCCTTTTTCTACCGCGATAGGTTTTTCTTTTTCGTTTAGTCTCCTTTTTCTACCGCATTTGTCCTGGTCGAACCTTGCGCGAGCTGTTGCAGCACCATTCCCTGTCATTTCGAGGGCGGACTGTATGGTTGAGTGTAACGAAACGTGACTCAGGTATTGGGCCTCATTCCACACCACTTCACTTCACTTGAAACTCGAGTTCCAGTGTGCACTCGAGTTCTAGTGTGCACTCGAGTTCCAATCGTGATTAAAAAAATACCTGACCTGAGTCACGTTTCGTTCCACTCAACCCTAGAGTCCGCCCTCAAAATGAGCGGGAATGGTGCTCCAACAGCTCGCGCGAGGTTCGACCAGGACAAATGCGGTAGTAAAAGGAGAATAAACGGAAAACAAAACCCTACCGGGCAGGTTCTACACAACCTGCAGCGCCGTTTTCAAGTGCAGCTCAAGTGTGCCAGAGAGGTGACTTGAAAAATGGGTAGGTTTGCCTGGGCCTCCCTTGAGCCGCCCTTGAGCTTTTCCCGCCCCTTTGCTAGAGCCGAAAACCTAATCACGTCTGGGCTGTGATTAGCGAAACTCAAGGGCATCGTGGAACGGTGTTGGGCAAGAAAAATCCTCGCGTTTCGAGTGGTGTGGAACTAGGCCCATTTTTTAATCACGATTGGAGCTCGAGTTTGAGCGCGCACTCGAGTTTCAAGTGAAGTGAAGTGGTGTGGAACGAGGCCCATAGATTTGGAAGTGATTGCTGTCCGATTCATCCACGTTTGACTGTAATAGCAGCGAGATACATTTAGGAAACTACCAGTGTGAGGATGCTCTCATTATGACCTGTCTCTTATACACATCTAGATGTGTATAAGAGACAGGTGTTGGGCAAGAAAAATCCTCGCGTTTCGAGTGGTGTGGAACTAGGCCCATTTTTTAATCACGATTGGAGCTCGAGTTTGAGCGCGCACTCGAGTTTCAAGTGAAGTGAAGTGGTGTGGAACGAGGCCCATAGATTTGGAAGTGATTGCTGTCCGATTCATCCACGTTTGACTGTAATAGCAGCGAGATACATTTAGGAAACTACCAGTGTGAGGATGCTCTCATTATGACTGCACCAAACCCGAGATACACGGGTGTCTTCATCCCGAATCAGGGCACATTCACTTTTCTAAATGTGTTTGACAGCTATTACGGGCGCACCTTCATGAATCTGATGCGAGGACTGAGCCCTCACGGGGCCCCTACAGACATGCAAGTGTTCTGGGCTGTGGCGCCCAGCTAACATTGTGCCCGCCCTAAGCGAAGGGGGGCGTGAATATCCACGAGAGGCCTACTTCCAGCATTTTCCATGTGTGGGTATCAGACAGTTGCGGCACGCCAGTTGGTTATCGAGCAACATGAGCTCCTCCTGGCGCCTTCCAGAAGAAGCACGTGCGACATGCAGTTGAGCCCAGGGCCTGGGTGGTTGCGCCCTGGGCACATGCATGCATGCGCACGGACGTGATGTGCTCTGTGCCGGCACGTGCGATGCACAGCGCACGCGCATGCATGGGCAAGGACGTGATGCGGTGCATGGGGAAAATCAGGGGGCGGGAAAAACAAAGGGGAGGGGTGGGGTGGTACCCTGCCCCTCCCCTCGTAAAAATGCTCGTCTACAAAAGAAAAGAGATTTTGGGCAGCTTGCATTATCTGACCACAGTCACAGCCGACAAAAGCACACGAATCCAAGTGAAAAAACAAAAAAACAAAAAAAAGAGTCCAAGTGTTAGGGACGTCCCTCCACTACTCTCCTCCAATTGTGGAAAATGAGACTGAATACTCCGCTAGAACATGGAATGATTCACCGCCAATATGTTCAGTCTCTTGTGCATCTGGAGAGTAGTGGAGTGAGGCCATTAATCTGCTTAAATTGTGCAATCGCCCTCCAACGGGTATTTCTGACAGTCTCGTTGTCTTTTCTTTCTTTTCCTTGATTTAGGGGAAAAAGAAAAAAAAAGGGTGTACTGGCAGCGGTCCTGCAAGTGTGTTTTCCCATTTTTGTTTTTTGCTTAAATTGTCGGTTGTCCCCATACAGTCCTAGGGCGTCTCGCTCCAGCACGCACCAAATGTGCAAAATGAGAATGGATCTTCCCCCAGGACACGGAAAGATTCATCGCCATAACTTTTGTCTGCTGTGCATGTGGCGAGTGGTTGAGCGAGGCCCGGCCCGTAATGAGAACCCCGCTATTTCCAACAATTCTGCTGACAGAGGGCCTCGCTCCACTACTCACCACATGCACAAGGGCCTCGCTCCACTACTCACCACATGCACAAAAGACAAAAAAATATGGCCATGTATCTTTCCATGTTCTGCCAGAAGGTTCGTTGAACTTCATTCCCATTTTGCACATTTCGTGAGTCACGATGCATGAATGGCTAGTGGCCATTACCCATCGCTTTGTGTTTTGTCTTGTTCTTGTTCTTGTTCGTTTCTTCTTCTTCTTCTTCTTCTTCTTCTTCTTCTTCTTCTTCTTCTTCTTCTTCTTCTTCTTCTTCTTCTTCGTTGTCATTGTTGTTGTTGTTGTTTTTTGGCGCATCAGCAATCCGCGCAACGCGCACGGCCCACCGCACGCATGCGCCGCAAGTATATGCTTTTAACGCAATTGCCTAAAGAGTAATGGAGGCGAGCGAAGGTAGGCTCTCAAGTTAGCGCTTTGCGCAGCTGTAGAGCGTAATGGTCAAAGCCTGCCTGACTGTGAGACCTACGGCGGAAAAACGAAGAAAGATTGTAGCTAATAAGTAGTAGTAGCACAAATAAAATGAATTGGTGATGGTTTGTTTTATGTGAGTGGGGAGCGGCAGAATGTCGGGGAAGAGGCGTGAGTAAACAAACAGGAGCACTGTGTGTGTGTGCGTGATGGAAGCGGTGCATAGAAGAGGGTTAAGGACACCGAGTGCGTGGAACAGACACCAAGTGCGTGTGCGTCTCTTGCATGTGTGTTGTTTGTGTGTTGTCTAAGTTTTTTCTTTTCTAGGGATATCTGGTGGATAAGGTGGATGGTGGAGATGGAGGGGGTAGCAGTGGACAGGCTGGCGCAGCCCGCAGCGGAGGAGGCTGGGGCTCGGAGCGGGGATGGAGTTGCTGATGGTGTTGGGTCTGCAGGCGGGGACGACACCAACATGAGTGCGGACGATACTAAGTCGTCTGTACTTCAATCGACGAAGATGGCGCACTCGCTGCGAGATACAGGGCCATTTCTGGAAGGGGAGAAGGTTCTTGCCTATCACGGCCCTCTGATCTACGAAGCGAAGACGCAGAAAGCCGAGTTCCGAAAGAAGGAATGGAGATATTACGTGCATTACCTGGGGTGGAGTAAGAACTGGGACGAATGGGTGGGCATCGAGCGGCTGATGAAGTACACGGAGGCCAACTTGCTGAAGCAAAAGAAGCTCTTTAAGCAGAACGCGGAGAGGAAGAAGTTGACGGCGGGAAAAGCCGGGAAAGCGGGAGGAGTGGCGGGAGGTGGAGGAGGAAGTGGTGGTGGGAAGGGGAGAAGACGACGAGCGGACTCCTCGATGGAGGAAAGGGACGGCGAGGAGCCTGAACAGGCGTTCAGGATTACGTTTCCCGGGACGCTGAAGAAGCAGCTGATCGACGATTGGAAACAGATTACTCAGGAAGGGGAGCTGGTATGCTTACCGCGGGAACCGACTGTGAACCAGATCCTGGACAACTACCTGGAGTTGAAGACAAAGAGGGAGAGTGGCAACGACACGTGGAAGGAGTTGGTTGCAGGAATGAAGACGTATTTCAACAAGGCGCTGGGCGCAATGCTGTTGTATAAGTCGGAGAGGGAGCAGTTCGAGGCGGCCACGGGAGACGAGGAGTCTCCATTGCCGGTGGAGATCTACGGGGCAGAGCACCTGTTACGAATGTTTGTGAAGCTCCCAGAACTCATTCAGTACACGAACATGGAGCCGGAAGCAATGAGTCACTTACAGGCCAAGCTGAATGACTTTCTGAAATTTTTGCAGAAGAACCAGACTTCCTTTTTTCTGTCCAATTACGGCGGGAAGAAGAAGTGAGCCAAGTGGAGGCGATAAGACACAGGGAGGGAGGAGATCTGTTGCCATTGCCAAGTGAATAGTTTTGTCGGGAGTCGTGGGCGCGGAGGGGGAGGAGGGAGGGGGAAGTTTCACTCGTTCCGAAAACCCTGGAGTTTTAGGCAAGGGGGAGGGCGTTGTCTGAAAATCGCGTGTCGGCGAAGGATAGGAAAGAGGGAGG